GGGGGGGGGGGGCCCCGTCGGGTTGTGGCCGGGCAGGGTGAGGCGTTTACAACTGACCACGTAAAACGGCTTTAAGTGCTATTGGTCGCTTGAGTTGATGGTGCCGCATCCTCCCCCAAGGCGCCCCGCCGACCGCCGCCCGGCAGCGGCCCAAACGCGCCCTTGCCGACGTTCGTTACACAGACTCCACGACGTCCAGCAGGCAGCAGCAGAGGAAGGCCTTGGCCCTCCTCACACCCCACCCCTCCCGACCCGACCGACGAGCGGGAAAGGATGGGGCGCTCGCGCAATGCGGCCCGTTCGGTCCACTCGACGTGCCGCTATGAGAAATTGCGGGGTGAAGGGGCGGGTGCATTACCTGGAGTGCACGGGCCGCCCGCCGCGCCACACACACACAGTGGGGCTCTCGGAATAATTCCCACATCAAGGTAATAATCTATAAAAGCGAGCTGGAGAGCGCAGCGTAGCGTGGCGTAGCGTAGCGTGGCGCAGAGCGATGGCCGGGCGTGCGGCAGACAATAAGGGGCTCGTCCATTAGCAAGTGCGGGGGGCTCCAAAGTGTAAGGCGGCCCCGGCGGCCCCCGCCACGCCCCGCCACGCCCCGCCCCGCCCCGCCACGTGCCACACCAGACTCTGCAGCGCCAAATTATGTGCGGGAGATCTTTATTCCTTCCCCAAAACTTTTGCGGTTCGCGCGCTCTGGCGTTGCTCCGCCGCAGTCGCGAGGTGAAACTGCAAGTGTATTTACCCGTGCGCCTGCTCTCGCTCTCTCTCTCTCTCTCTCTCTCGAGCGACGAGGACGACACCATGACCGCCCCGTAAAGCACGCGGCGCGGGCCGCTAAACTACTGCCGGTATCTCGAATGCAAATAGCCCCGGGACGCCCGCGCGAGGGACAGAGAGCGCGCGGCGTGACGGCGTGACCGGGCGCGGGCCCCGCGAGGGGTACATATTCCGCGCGTTTGGGAAGTTTAGAATCGCGCGGGATTCAACCCCCACCCACCCTCATCGCCCAAACACCAACCTAAGCCCCCACTCTTAATATGTGGCCAGGCTGTCAGGGCAAAGGCTTTCGAGAGAATTTCGCATGTGCGGATTAGTTGTTTTTTTCGCCCCGAAATTCCCCCTCCCACCCTTCACCCTTCCTCCCTCTCCCTTTATAAGTAAAGCACGGTTCGCGGCGGGCTTCGCGGCAGCTCGCCGGAACGGAGGGAGGAGGATGCCGTCAAGTGGCGTTCCCCGCCTTGCCCGGTCCCGCCCCGCCCCGCCCCGCCCCCAGCCCA